ATCCGGAATGTTCGAATAACCGGCATGTTAAGGTAACAAAGTCCGAGTAATAAAGAAGTTACAGCTGTATTCATCCAGTAGTAACGTCGATACTAAAAAGTTAACGAATAAAGCGTAGGAATTTGATTAAAAATGAAAAACGAATTTTTAAGAAAAATCGACAGGGGGTAGGTGCCTAAATTTTTCGGCGAAAAAAAAAATTTCAAATCTTTCTAGAAAAATTATTTTTAATTGCAGGGGTCAATTACGATCATTTTTGGTCAATAGACATACCCCCGAAATCCTACTCGTTTTCGAGAAAAAAATTCGAGTAGTTGCCTAAATTTTTTGGCAAAATTCAAAAATTTCAAATCGTTCTAAAAAAATTATTTTTGGTTGCAGGAGTCAATTACAATCATTTTTGGTGAATACACATATCCCCGAAATCCTACGCATTCTCGAAAAAAAAATTCGAGTAGATGTCCAAATTTTTCGGCGAAAAAAAAAATTTCAAATCGTTCTAGAAAAATTATTTTTAATTGCAGGGGTCAATTACGATCATTTTTGGTCAATAGACATACCCCCGAAATCCTACTCACTTTCGAGAAAAAAATTCGAGTAGATGTCCAAATTTTTTGGCGAAATTAAAAAATTTCAAATCAGTCTAAAAAAATTATTTTTGGTTGCAGGAGTCAATTACAATCATTTTTGGTGAATACACATATCCCCGAAATCCTACGCATTCTCGAAAAAAAAATTCGAGTAGATGTCCAAATTTTTCGGCGAAAAAAAAAATTTCAAATCGTTCTAGAAAAATTATTTTTAATTGCAGGGGTCAATTACGATCATTTTTGGTCAATAGACATACCCCCGAATTCCTACTCGTTTTCGAGAAAAAAATTCGAGTAGATGCCTGAATTTTTTGGCGAAATTAAAAAATTTCAGATCGTTCTAAAAAAATTATTTTTGGTTGCAGGGGCCAATTACGATCATTTTTGGTGAATACACATATTCCCGAAATCCTACGCACTCTCGAGAAAAAAATTCTTCGCCGAAATGATGTGTGGCCAACTCTGAATCGAATGTCTGGAGCATCGAACAGTGAATAACATTATTAGGTTCGTTCTAAAAAGACCCATTCATCATCACGTGAGTCTTAAATATAAACAATAAATTACAATGTTGGTGCTCTTCATTTACAACAAATGTAAATGTTTGCACGTTCATCGACCGTCATACGTACGTACAACTTCAAATACACGATGTGGTAACGATTGACGTAAGTCACAAATATATAGGGTGTTCAACAGGTTATGCCGTACAAATTTGATCATTACATTCTGAAATAACTATTACTATATTTCAAATAAATCGATATTTTTTAGTTTTGTTCCAAGTGAAACTTTCCCTGGTTTCATTTTATATCGGTTTAATTAACGAATCGATGCATAGTGGATTCATTTGTAACGTGACAAAAATAATTGACCGATTTCAGCGTGTTTAAAAACCAACGAATGTTTAAAAAACAAAATCGCACCGCAGACATTCCTCTTAACGCTAGAACCAGCGATCTGGAACGACTACGTATGTTAATTTATCGCTTAAGAGATGGATGTAAACAATTATGTAACGCGGTAGAAAATTGAAGAAGGTACTCGCTAAATATTTTTCCACGAGTGGTTCTCACTGAAATCAGTTGATTATTTTAGTCGCAGCACGAATTAATTTCTAATCCACTGTGTGACGTATGAAAAATAGTTGACGATCAGACAAACAACGACAATGCCGTAACTCGTGGCGACGCGATATTATACGGGACGGATTAAATCCCGGAAGGCTACGTTTCCAGCGAAAATATTTAAAGTGAAATTAGCGGGGCACAAATGCTACTATAATCTACGCTGGTGACGAGATTATGGTAATGCGACTCGTTTGTTCGTCGACGTGCGGCGACATTTAGATTTAGTTGCCTTAGAAGCGAAAGAGGCGAGGAAAAGGAAACAAGATGTTTTCAGGACACAAAAGATGAAATATTATCGGGCACTGTTGGCACCACGTAAATTTGGCAATAATCTTTGGCAGTGAACTTGCACGTCGTATCGCGAATTCATTCTCGATGCGTGAAAACCTGATAATATGTTCGTTTTCCAATTTTTCAACGATTTAATCAACCAACTATTTTTTTTTTATTATATAACACATTGTAAATCGTTGATTATTTTGAATGGTCGATGACGTAGGATTTAAAGAGAATCAAATTTGTGTTCTTTGTAAAAGGTGATTGTCATTTTCGCTGAAAAGGAAGCGTTTAAGGTGTTGACGCATCTCGATGATCGCTTATTCGCTTTCGATGCACGCCAGAGTTTAAAGAGACGAATAAAAGTGGCCACTTGCATATGCTTTCCGAATATTTCGTTTATTGAGTCACACGGTTGTGTAAATCTTGGCACATTGCGTGCCGCATGGCTACGTATTTCGCGTACGCTTCCTGGACATATCGTATACACAGAGGAAACATTACTTTCTTGTCCGTTCCATTCTTATCTGAAGAGCATTAAACGTCCAGTCGAGGGCGTTTTTACGCTCACGGGCTTGCAGGCTCGTAGCCGCTAAATGGTCGACGCGAGTCCAGGGGCAACTTGAAATTTTTGAATGTCAAGGATGCACTTTTTTACGTAATGTCGAATTATGAAAGCCTTGTCGCGAACGGAGACGAAAACGCGAAGGCGTACGGTAGAAACTATGAAAAACAGATTTTTTATTTCATTCGCCTCGATATTTGCGATATATTCGGGGAAAGAATTCGTTTGCTCGTGGCAACGCGTCTTGAAGCTACGATTTCCAATATTAATTTGCATGGAAATTGGTATCAGATAGAAAGTGCAAGATAAAATATCTTAATCGATTGTCGCAACCCTATAGCAGAAGAGAAAGTAAGGCAGAAGGCGGAGGTTCAGCAATTGCTGTTTTGCAACTTAAACCGAAGTCGCGCGAGGACAAACAAAAATCATTTTGCGCAGGATTGTCGTGAAACTCGTGCATTCTAGAACTGTTTGGAATTAGATTTATTGGCCCGCTGCTGTCGGCTTGTAATTGGCAGATAATGGCTCTGTTTCACGATAAAAGCTTAACGAGCTACTCACAGTGCACGCAGTTTTCTTTGCGTTAAGGCAACACTTTATTTTGTCGTGGAACGTTTTCGTTCGTTCCACGAACTTAGACGCGACTCGCCTAAAACGCTTCTTTTTTTTCTTAGCTTGAATCATCGATTCTTTTCGAGCGTTATTTGCAGGAGTAATTTGAGATTTTCTCAGAAACGCGTTTGTTCGACGATGACCGTTCCATCTCATTGTCGCGTGACAAGATGTATAATTACTGTTTCATAGTATTCAATTATTTCGCGTCAGACGGCTTTTCCTTACATGATTCTCGCTCATACAATACTGTCATGCATGTAAGCGTTTTCGTGGCTATTGTACAATACAAAACGTTGCGATAGAGATACAGTTGCTCGCAAAAGTGTCTGACCGACTTAATAAATTTTAGAGTTAGAATTATAAATTTATTAATATGAAAAGGTGCAATCGAGACAGAATTTCGTGAAATATATTATATGCATAGTGTATGGATACTTTTGCAAGTAACTGTATCTGATTTGCCTCGGGAATTTCTAGGTGTATATGGATACTTTTGCGTGTAACTGTATCCGATTTGCCTCGGGATCTTCCACGTTAATGTTCGTTTGGAAGGTCAATCATAAGTCCCGTAACCATTTTCAATAGAGTTTTTAGATGTCATAAATATTCCTATGTGCTATTCAACAGCTATGCGAACATTCATAGAAATATAAATGGTTAAAAATAGAAAATGCTAAACATGTTTTCCGTATACTCGCGAATCAAAATATTTATAAAAGGTTATTTAACTATTGGCCAAGATTTCGTATTACACGTACTAACGATTAATGGCACTGCTATCGTGAAAATGCATTTTATTGGCAAACATTCGCATTTCTCTAACACGGTGAACGTCATTCATAGGCAATCTTTATAGCGTCGTTCGGTACTCGTCATTCTACTTTATTTTCGTCTCGCTCAACGCGTACTGTTTTACAATTCACACGTAACATCAGCGGTCCCGAAAGGGTTAAATATAAAATGATCAATCACCCTATCGATAATAACCGAAAGCAACATTCACACCTTCGGCTCCCAAACGAATTAACCGCGGTATGTGCAAGCTTTTACATTCACGCTGCCGTATCGATCATTCGCTGAATCAATTGTTTTACCGTCTTGCGTAATACCACATACATTTCATGCGTGCGTGCACACGATAAAACCACGGAGTACAAATTACATTCGATAACAACAAAATAATACACAGAAACACGATGTTCGATCGAATCGCGAAGAGACTTTTCGATATCAACCCTTTGCACACCGAATTCTATTTAAATCTTGTTACCAGCAGCTCCCAAAGCTTTCAAGTGTTTTATTTGAAATTTGTTAAAATATTTTTGTTTACACTGTTGTTGCATTTTGTAACTTTCAAGTGTACGGATATCTCTTTGGTTTGGACCGAGATAAAAATTGAAGTCGAATCACACTCGACATAGGAGTGCAAAGGGTTGAAAATTTACGTTCAGTTATCGGTACCATAAGGTAGAAGAGTTTGTAAAACGTATGTAGATTTACGTTTAGTCAGATTTCCCCGTGGCTGGGCGCAGCGTGTGTTTTTGCACGGTCCGAGTGGTGTTCGCGAACTGTGATCCGCGGTGCGGGAAACACGTGCATGGACGGTTGACGTATAGCAGGCGGAGTGAGAGCGGCGGGACACGTCGGCCTCGAGGAGAAGAGGATTTCAACCTCTCTTTCATCGAGAACGAGCGAGCGAGTTGGGAGACGGCCCGTCCCACGACGGTGCGGCTCGATGGTGGGGTGTCAGCCGCGGCTTATCTGGCGACTTTATGTATATTACGATGCCCAAGGCAGGAACACGAGCAGTTCACTGCTGGCTAACTGGTCGGAGAAGTCGGCGAAGCCGAGTCTAAGCCCGACGGCACGGTACATCGAGAGAAACGTGTTCGAGAGCGAGCGACGCCGAATTAAGAGTTTCGGTACGCACACGTGCACGCGCGCATATTACCCACACACACGAGAGGCTACGTTGCCCGGCCTGTGCCTACCCAGGAACAATCGCGGATACATTCGCGTGTGTATACCGGTCAGGTGCGCGATACCGTAGCCGTAGTGGAAGCCCGGTACGGTCCAGAGTTTGGCAAGCTGATCGAGTCGGTATCGATACATTGCGGTGATCGCATCGATCCAGGATGATCGTCCTCGCGTGGTCCTTGTTCGTCGTGGTCTCGTTGCTCATCACGACCAACCAAGCCTTCCTCGCTGCGCCTTTACCAGGTACCGCCAAGTGACATTTTTCTGTTTATTCGCGGAACACGCGTCGACCCGTAAACAGCGAGGAACCGTTAACCTTTCGCGTTGCCGTATTCGTGATCGACGCCTAGCGAGGATCGAACGCGTGGCGGTCGTGTTTGTTGGAACGTGTCACACGAAATTGCCGTGAAAACGTTCCATTCTCGGTAGATTCAATTTCGTTCCATCGAATTTTCTCCCAAGGGGATATCGAAATTTTGTACCGTTGTTCGCCAATATCCTGAAACTCGTCGCCGATTGTTAGACATAATTGAAATTTACAATCACACATTTGATACGCCCACTAACGTGTGTGTTAGCAATATGTAGAAGATTGATAGCTATCGTTGACCTCACAGCAGACGAAACAGATCGCAGTTTAAACATATTTAACGGATACCATTCAAACTTTAGAACAGAATAGGATAAACACAAATTGGTACCAAAATCCCACTTGTAAAAGCAGATACGTTAATATCTTCTCGAACTAGGACAAGATATAACAGCGATAGGACTCGCGTGTGAGGTCGTTAAACTTGTACATGCAAATTTCAGATAATTATAACATAAAAGTAATAAAGAATATTTCTAAAGAAAAAGTTCGGTGATTTTAAATTTTATAAGTTGTTCGTACGATGCCAATTAAAGAATGTTTCCCTCCTTTTTGAAGAAAGGTTCGTGCGGTAAAGTTTCATAACTAATTACGATTGAACAGAAATGGAGCTTCCTTGCTGCATGCGAGTGTTGTGCAAAAATATGGGCCCGTATCTGTTAATCAAATCAAATTGGTTTAGGATCATTTCCTGATGCATATCTTCAACTTGTTGACAACGTGATGCTGGTTTTATTCTATCACTCGTGATTTAAAAAGAATTAGTAAATTATTATATGTCTTTCGCATACCACTGTCGTCGTAATCTTTTTTTTTTTTGAGAACTTCTTTTTTTGGTATGCTTGGCAGCTTCATTAACATTCAACCATTGTTTTCGTATTGTTTTCGATCGTCGAACGATAACCATTTTTCGACACGCATAACGATCCTCTCCAAAAATGGCACTCTGCTGTTTCGAATCTTAATCCACGAGCATACCTTCGATCTTTCCAGTTGATCGTCCATTAATTGGTATAGTGCCCCTACTTGTTCAATTTTTTCAACTTTCCTTGCCACGACCAAGTCTTGAGAATCTGTAACAATATGAATAGAAGAATTATACGAGAATAAAAATAACTCGATAATCGAATAGTATCGTAGAGTATTGTTTTATGTTTACTTAATTCGTCGAATATTGGTAATTTCATGAGGCACGATCTAACGCATATATAGTAGATAAATATATTTAGACAAATAGTTTTAAACAGATTATTACTGTTATTCACATTTTTATTTATTATCTAAGAATCTAGATTTTTATTACTATGTATTACGTGTTACGTGTTCATAAAGTGTATCTCGAATTATCTTTCGAAAGCATAATAATCCTTATATGTTACATTTTATCGACAAGGAAACATTTTATGTTTATATTGCTTTATTGACACGTTCCTTGATTAGGTTTCGGACCGATTCAAGGGCACGATATTCTGTGTACACAATTTACAAATTTTGCCCAGTACGTTAAACGTTGTAACGTAACGAAAACGCCGAATAATGTAATCGGATTTTTCTTTTCTACTGCACTCGTAAATATTTCTTATTGCACGAAGTAATCAGTGCGCAAAAACAAAAAATTCTTTGTTAGTTTGTTAATCTATAATTGTTTGAATTCAAAAGTTGAAACGGTCCCGAAAATAACCGTTTCAAACTGTTACACAATCGATTTTGAATTGAAACAGAATCGAAAATGTATCATAAACGTGAACTTGATGTACTGTAGGGTAGGGGAAGTGTAGAGAGTGAATTTTCTAATCAAGTTGTCCCGAAGACTTAGAAAACGGGGGAGGAATGTCGTGATGCGCAATAATGGTAATTGTAATTCGTTCGAGACGAGCAATTATGGTTCGATCAATCGCGAATGGTACTGGATAATTTTATCTGTGACGTACATTTAAAATAATTAGAGGTCAAGTACTCCAATGACGTTGATAGTCAAGTGTTCTATACACTGAGACAGTGATTCTTAACCAGCGTATCGCTGCACATCATCATACGTGTAAAAATATTAGAAAACTCGAGCACTATACTATTAAAATAATTTCGTTACTAAGATAACACACAAAATGTTCACACTTGTAATTACATTTTTTATTTTCATTGTCTGCGGTATATAAGTGCGTATAAGAACACTTGACCGTACAACTTTCGTGATACAATGGTAAGCGAAGTGCCTTAGCTGTGATGCAATCTCTCTACTTCAATCAAGATGGTAATAATTGACAGAATACAATCAATTTTCGTGATTATATGGCGTGACTGTAAGTTGTAAATTTGATCCAAAAAGTAAACTCTTAGAAATCAAATCTTAAATACTGCAATTCTACGTTAACTACAATTTTAGATTATTTTACACAAAAAAATCCGTCCTTGAAAAGGTTAAATGATACAGGAAAAAAGTATGCTTCGTCGACGATCTCCGTTAACGAAAACGGACGTACAAATTACCCATTTTTTCTATATAAGAAATTAGCTTTTCTTGGATCGTTTTGCGCACATTGGACAACAGTAAAAAATCACAAGTGGATCCGAACGGAATTTCCAAGTTCGTACCAGTTTCTGAGAATAAAAGCGTCGTAAATAATAGAGCCGAGATACACAATTTGACAAATGCGTATGTATTTACCGAAGATTCAAATTATGAGTCACGCTGGAGTTTTTTTTTGATAAAGTCATTCGACCAGATTCACTTCGAGCAAAAATCATTTTCAGGTGTATTGTGCCGTGGCTAAACAAACTCCATGGTTTCTATTATTATAAAAAGGTTCATAACGTATTGATCCAATTCGTCTTTATTCCAGGTGCTCCGATGATTTATGAACGGGAGTGTCCGTGTATTATTTGCTGAACTATTGTCCGGTGTTAGATATTCCTTTAGCGTTATGTAACTTGTTTGTTTCGTGCAAAATTTGTTTCTCACTCGTTTTTTTTTCTTCAAACGCGACCGCCAAATTCCACTTCGTCTTGGGCATCGCGATCATTATCCTGTTAAATACGTAACGCTTCTGGATGTTTCCTCGATCCCTGCAAAATATACAATTTACGTTCTAGCGAATAGCGAAACTTGAACTCCGGGTTAGTTGATCAAAAGTATCAACCGAGCGGGTCTCGATGCAGGCAGAAAATAAGAACGTGGTTGGTTTTACCGCTGAGAAGTTAAACTCTTCGGGGTCGCCTTTCATAAAAGTCCCGTTAAAAATAGAAGCGCGCGAGGCAAGACGATCGACACCGTGTTCATTCTGAAATTGCACTTCACTCCCGCATACAGCTCGTTCAAGGGATAGATTTAACTTCCGCCGACGCGAATCGCCAGTAGACGCTCGTCGAGAATTCAGTTTGAACCGTTGCCACGGGAATTATGGCAGGTCTTGGGGCATCTCCGGACCATCAGAATTTTCGTTCAATTTCGCCTATTACACTTACACGCTTATTCCGTTCGATATTCTATCGTTATCGAACGCTAAATTTATACCAGATTTTAATTAACGCGCGATAAAAGAAAACGATATTGATTTCCGTAGCGCGTATCGGCGTCTTTTATCGGCGACGGATTTAACAAAATGCTATAACGAGCGAACTGATTAGATCTTTTCTCCTTCCCCTCCCCCGTCGTCCCCTTACAACCAATCCGTACACAATTGATTTTATTGATATATTTTTAAAGCTTGCGTGTGTTGCATCATAAAGCAAATCGTTACGCCTGCGGTCACTAAATCTTCCGCCTTTGAATTCTGCTCAGGTTTCGAAGATCACGAGACTCATTTGCATTACATGCTTATTAGATCGTTAAACAAGTTCTTTGCGTTTTCGAATTTCACTTTTAAATAAAAATGGCCCCGATCAAAGTGTAAAGGTGTTTACGAGCGTTCGCTTGATCACGTATGCTAATCGAATCAATTCTGTCGAGATTAATGAAATTCGAAAAAGAAACGCGAGAACGCTTCGGGACTTCTGCGAACGTTATTCGATTCATTTAGAGTTCACAAAGCTTTCCTTGAAACACGAGGTCCGGATTTATTGCAAGGTATAACGACATCGTTTGTACCGGTCACTGTCCTTTATTCGATTCAATTTCAATTTCCTGCGAATACGAGTAACGGTAATTTATACGGCAAAACGACGTAATACCTGGAATCAGGTATTACGCGTTAATAATAGACAGACATTGTCGCGTGTCGAGAATCAACGATTTCCTCGCGTTTACACGTTTTCTTTAAATTGGAAATTTGGAACTCATGTTCGATCTGTAAACGTGTATTAATCGGAGGCTCGTCGGTATCGCGGCTTACCGCGCTCGAGAAATCAAGTTGACGCGGGGGATCTAGCGGATCGAGAGATCGCGATCGCGCCTGAGATTTGCGGAGAAACGGTACACGTAACTGCAAAGGGTAGGATCCCGTTAAAAACGAAACTTTGAACGACCACGTGGATCTAACGCTGCAAAATTATTGTTCGTGGCGATTGCGAGTCGCGCGAAACGCGATTACGTGCTTGTATTTTCAATAGACTTTCTCGATACGCAGCGATCGTGATCGCCGGGACTGGCGCTCGATAGCTCGATAGGATAAAAAATGGACAGTTTCATTAATTGCGTTTTAAAAAACTTTGAAACAATTTTGAATTTCCTGCGACGAGTTTTTTTTTTTCAAATACACGTTCGCGATCGACTACGAGTACGTGCGTTATTCGAAAGCTCTTTGTTATTTGTTCCACTATCGATCTCTGAATTCTTTCCTGTTCTCTCTTTTTCTCTCTGCCCCGCCATGCTATGATCGATGAAGTTTTAATACGTTTTTTCGAGTGCTATCCAACGAGTAAACTTACAAGAGCATTT